CTTTCTTTCTTTCTTTCTTTCTTTCTTTCTTTCTTTCTTTCTTTCTTCTGCTTTCTCTTCTCCATTTCCTGCCCTAGCTTCTCTTCTCCCCTAAGGCATTTCTCTTCTCACTCCTTCCTCCTTTCCTCTTTGTCCATACAATAACCAACCTCCCAGAAAGCTGTAATGTTAAACCCCGATGCCCTCGATGTGCAATGTATTTGTTCATAAACAAAGTTTGTGCCTTTTTTCAGTGATACAAATCAAAGAGTCTTTGGTTTGAGAATCAAACAATGGTGCATCTTTTCTCTTTGAAGAAAATTCACTATACCCTCTAAGGATATTGTACAATGACATAACAAAGTGTGTGTTTTTTGCCAAGTGACACCAATGTGGGACCACAGTTAAACACTTGATGCAAAGAGCAGACCACCAGAGAAGAGAAAACAATCAGTTATTGCACTAGGCACTCCAACTGTCAGTCACCTCCTTCACAACAACAGAATGCTTTGGATGGATATAAAATTTCTGCTATTTGGATTTTAGGGGTCCTTCAGGAGGTCAATAAGCAGTTTTGGGAGTCACCCAGGCAAAGATAACATCCCCAGGTAGTCCACTATGCAAGAGTGAGGTAAAAGACTCTTCGTTTTTCTTTCTAGACAATGAGAGATCCTTCAGAATACAGTCATGACTATGTCTGGGAATAGAATTAAAAGAGGTGGATGGCATGCAATGGATGGTCCTGATACTTGATTGCTATTTCAGTCTCAGATTTACTGCATAGATCTGTCTGATGTGAAGACGTGATGTAAATTACTTCTTAGAACAAGCTCCAATTCACCTTTTAAAATGGCATTCACAGTAATGCCCACTGTCATGGCCAACTTCACGTGTAAACTTGACACAGCCTATAGTCATTTAAGAGAGGGGAGAACTTTAGTCGAGGAGCTGTGGGCATATCTGTGGGGATTGTCTTGATCAATAATTGAGCCTACCCCCTGTGGACAGCACTATTTCCTGGGCAATATTTCCTGTATTTCCTGAACTACATTAAAAAAAAAACTAACTTAGCATAAACCTGTCTATGAGCTAGCAAGCAGTGTCCCCTGTGGCTCCTGCCACACCTCTTTGTCTGAGAAGTGAGTTCCTTTGTTGAAGGTAATGCTGCTTGGAACAGCAAGTTCCTGCCTTGAGCTCCTGCCTTGACCTCCCTCTGACTGGAATTGTGAGCTAAAATAATGCCCCCCAAATCATTTTTGGTGAGAGTGTTTCATTACAGCAACAGAAAGGAAAGCAGAATACCTTCCTGTTGTATTGTTTTATCCATCCTGTAAGAAGAAATGCGTAAAAGTTTTATGAACTGTTTAATTAACACTTGTGGAAACACTTATCAGTTCTGATTTTCAGAAGGGTGTTGGTGCTTGTGTTTGTCTAGAGACAAATCCCTCAACAAGCAAACTTAGATACCTTAGTATAGTAGAAGGCTGTTCATTCTTTTCCTGACTGCCCTGACTCAAAATAATCACACTGAAACTATATTCTTAAATTGCTTAAGCATATTGTTAGTTATCTCATATATCTTTGGTTAACCCATTTCTATTAATCTGTATATCATCACATGGCTGTGGCTTACCAACAAGGTTCCATCCAGTGTCTGTCTCTGGTGGGGCTACATGGCTTCTCTTGACTCCACCTTCTTTCTCCCAGCATTCAGTTTAGTTTTTCCTACCTAGCTCTACTATTCCCTCTAGCTCTACTATTCCCTATCACAAGCTAAAGCAGCTTCTTGATTCACTAACCAATAAAAGCAACATGTGTACAGAACTTCTCACACCATTTCTCATTTTCTGTCTAACTAAAAAGGAAGGTTTTAACTTTAACATAGTAAAATTACATATAACAAGACAGATATTAAATAAGAATTACAGCTACAGCATTTATATCTACTTAATCTTTTATCATGACTAAGGAAAACTATAACTATAGCTATCTATTTTTTCAACTCCATCAAAGACAGCAGAAAAATATAAGATTACCTAAGTTAGCAGGAAGTGAATTATAAGCAACTTCAAAAACTCTAGAACTGACAGAGATATCGTGCTGCCTGGACAGTCACCCAAAGTTCTTCTGTATCATTGGAGCATCCATTTTCAGCCTATAGGCCCATAGTATCTGGAAGACTTTCCTATGAAACAGGAAATCTGACAGACAGTTCCACCTATATTGGCAGTTTGTCAGTCATCTTCTTGTGTCCTGGAGAATGTTTGGCAGACTCTTTAGGAACCCTGAAGGACTGTCTCACTTTCTTAAGGCAGGTTCAGTGTCATATGAGGGCTGGCTTGTTGGGGTATCTGTCCTGCCCAGTACCCCATAGCAGGCAGGCCCCAAAGAAAATCATGCACAAGACTCCATAAGATTATAAACTGATTGGCCCATTAGGTCAGGCTTCTTGTTAATTCTTATAACTTATATTAACCCATTATTTTTATCTATGTTAGCCATAATGGCTCCATACCTTTCTCAGCTGGGCACGTTACATGTTGCCTCTTTGGTGGTCTGCGTAGGAGTGGCAGAGGAACCTCCTTGCTTTCCAGAATTTTCCTGTTCTCATTGCATCACCTCTACTTCCTGTCTGGTTTTTCCACCTATATTGCCTGCCTGGCCAATCAGCGTTTTATTAAAATATGATTGACAGAATACAGACAATTTTCCCGCATCAGTTCAGCAGTCATTTTTTCTATGGGTACTGCAGGTCCAGTAAAGCAGTTTAAACAAGAGCAGTTTCTTGCCCATGGATAACAAGCTTACTTACATTTATCCAACACTGTGACCCATTTAGAGGTCTATATCTGTCTGAATCTGTCTCCCTGCAATTATCTTTATCAGCAGGCATTTGGTCAGTGCTTAGGGTCCAGGCATTAAACATTCCATTTAAGATATTTACAGATCTTCAAGGACATAGAAATACTACCCAAGCTGCTGTTCTGGTTTTACCTCACTTAAAGATTCTTAACTCCTTACACTCACCTTCACCTCGGTTTACTGATGATTTTAATTCAGGATATTTATGGCTTGTACTTTACTTTCAGGGAGAGCAGAAAAGATAATTAACTGCAACTCAGAAAAAGACCCAACAACACCCATGATCAGAACAGCTGATAACAGTACAGCCCGGAACTGATAATCTAAAGGTCTGGGTCTCTTGTTTGCTTAGAGAAGTAAGTCTAACTCTAGACTTATGCCCATAGAAACTGAAGTGTCTGGTGAATGTGCTAATCAGATCAGGAGATGTGGTTTTCCCCTGACTGTTTATGTAGGTTGCTTGGGTACCCAATCCTAAGCATGCTGGGAGGAAAAAGGCAGCACACCAATTTAAACAATATGTGCCATATTCATACTTTTACTGAAAAATAAACCTTTTAAAAGATGAAAGCATTTACTACCTATAAAGGTAGTATAGCACACTAACTTTTCCTTCTAGAATCCCCTGATGATTTAATTCCTTTCTTAGCTAACTTTCTCCATTAAGGAGTTTACTGGGTGTGCACAGATCTCTCTCTCTCTCTCTCTCTCTCTCTCTCTCTCTCTCTCTCTGTGTGTGTGTGTGTGTGTGTGTGTGTGTGTGTGACAGAGAGAGAGAGAGAGAGAGAGAGAGAGAGAGAGAGAGAGAAAACCCTTATCTCATTTTATATAGGACAAAAGAATTCCAACCCCAATACCTGCTAGGGCTGAGGAATTGTTGGTTTTAAGGATATATATGACTGGGAACATTTGTAATAGGTAGAACAAGGAAGAACAAGAAGAAACAATAAGGAATGATGGATTGAAGAGAGAAGAATAAAGAAACATGGAGACAGAATCTGTTGTGAGCACTTCTTTATGCTCAAACTTTTAGCCCCCCTTTAGCTTATCCTAGTGTCTTTAATTAAACCCTAAATGGAAGTCTTAAAGGCTAGAACTTTTAAGGCTCCCGTTAAACCAGCTACAGTTTTTCACCGGCTTTGAATCATGCTAAGTGGTTAATACTTTCCCAACCAAGGGAGAAATATTCAGCTATTCTCTGAGAAGATTTTCTTTACAGTTGACTCCATCTCAAGTGAGATCCCCTCCAAATCCCTCCTCCTTTGACAAAGACAAAGACAGAACTCTCCTACCCCATTATCTAAGAATTTGAGATCTGTTATTTTCATTCCTTAAGACAACAAGGACTTCCGCTGCCTGCCTTGGCATTTCTAATTCAGTTCCTGCTCTCCTAACCATGACTGACCACTCTGATAACATTAAAGGTCAGCTTGGCAGCTCACCTTTGTAGGACGAGAAATCCCCTCATTCTTGAACATCAGGAAGGGTGACTAAGACCAGCGGTGACAACTGAAGGAAGCCTGCAGCCCTCCTGTCCTTACAGCGCATGCTCGTGCCTCATTTTAATTTTTCTTGACCTATCGTCTCACTCCTTCAGTGTGGTCATTCCTCAGGACACAGTGCTTGCTGCCTGACACATGCAGGTCTGGCAGTAAAAGTCATTGGTCAAGTAAGACCAGGTTTGGATTCCATTTAACCTGCATGAGTGTGATGTTGACCTATGTATTTAGCTTCTCTGGTGTTTAGTTTTGTTAAGCAGAACATGATGCACATTGCAGGCCCTAAGAACTGGAAGAGGGTAGCTTTGATAAAGAGTGTCATGCGGTGGGGAAAATGAGGGTGAGAGGGAGAAGGGAGGCACTAGAGGGCAGCAGAGGACCTTGTTGGGGAGGCACGCTGTTAGGTTTGAGGATTCCAATGCTTCTACTGCAAAGGACAACTTTTTTCATTCACTGTAAGATTGTACAATGCTTACTTTGAAGGGATCCTGGAATCTGAATAAGAGTTAATAAATACAAGGGTAAAAAAATGTAAAAACTCATAGTTATTGGCTAATAAAAAAAAAAACATTGTCTCTCTCATGTTAAAAAGCCCAGAAGCATCTAATTTACCACTCAACTAAAAAGATAGGCTATTTTA